TTGGTTCTATGGCTTCATAGTGACCATCTTACTGATGGTCTGGTCTAGAGGCTTCTTCGGACAGAGCTCCGACACGGGAACTATGGTGGGTGAGTACGATCCATGTCTAAATATATGTATTCAGCATAGTGGTGTGGGTATACCGTTCCCCATAGCGCCCCTAGAGGACACAGTTCGAAGTTCCCATGAAAGGGTTATGTAGTCTTAATGGGTCACGTTTCAGTCACTATTTCTTATTCATTCCGTTGTCTGACAACAGAAACAGTAAAATATACCAATGAAAACGGTTGTATTGAGAATTTAGCTGCATCAAAATACAGTATGTGGGCACAGAGAGGCAATCAAATGTAATAATAAATGTACAGCATGTTCAGAAGAAGTGAGGCTTGTGTAAGTAAATTAATAAAACTAAGTAATGGGAACCTGGTATTTGTATGTTCTTTTTTCATGTGTCTAATAGACATGAACAAGTTCTTTGAAAAACATCTATGACCTTTGAAACATGTCTAGTCTTCATGCTCTATGTTGACTATGGTTTGACTAATAATAAATTAGTCATTTGCATTAGACATCCATATTTGTTCATGCCCATGTTGATTAGAGAATTAAAAACTTGAAAGTATTCATTTAAGGTACATTTAGAACAGATAAAAATGTGCGATTAAGTTGCGATTAATCACGGGTTAACTCGTGACAATCATGCGATTAATCGCAATTAAATATTTGAATCGATTGACAGCCCTAATTTTAATCAAATTCCAATGCAATTCTTCTGTGTCCAGGGGCATCCCAGTGCCTGAGAACTTTTTCAGGATCCAGTACTCTGTTTTTATGTACATGCATCATTGCAAGTCCTGATAGCCTGTCATTTCCCATGCTCGATCGTAGCCAGGTTTTTAGCCGCCTCAATCTTCGTGCTCTATGTTGACTATGGTTTCACTGCACTACATTTGCATAAAGCATCCATATTTGTCCATGCCCATGTTGATTAGAGTATTAAAAACTTGAAAAGTATTAATTTAAGGTACATTTAGAACAGATGAAAATGTGCGATTAAGTTGCAATTAATCACGAGTTAACGCATGACAATCATGCGATTAATTTCGATTAAATATTTTAATCGATTGACAGCCCTAATTATTATTAATTAACCGTACAGAAGTATTAATTTTGCCCATTTTTAATTTAGTCTTAGTCTTACTCAAATGTACCTTTTAGTTATCATATTTAGTTAACCTTGTCCTGTTTTTGGTTAGTCAAGTTTAAGTCAATGAAATGTATGAGCATTTTAGTCAGGTTTGAGTCAAATCTTAGTCCCATTTTCGTCATGCTGTATAATGGTTAAACTGATCAAAATTATTTTTGCTCAAAATTATAATCGTAATGATTGTTGTCATTTGAGAAATGTACTTTTGCATTTCAGGTATTGCACTTTCACCAGTAAGCACAAATCAGTAGAATGTGGAGTCATAAATGGCGTATTTTTCCTCATCTAGTGTACTGATTTATTATAGGCTTTTTATTATATAAATTAATACCAAAGACTTATGCAATCTCTCTGTCAACATTACGAAAACTGCTAAAACAAACGAAAAAATATTATAACAGTGAAATTCCAAGTAATTCCAAATGGCAATAGCCTATTTCTCTATTAAAACACCAGCGGTTGAGTAAGTGCATTTATTCAGCAACCACAATCGCAAACAATATATTCGAGATCTCATGACAGAACACAGACCGGCTGAATTACACTTTCATTTAGATCGCTAAACTCCAGCTTGTTTGTCGCTGTTTTCAGATCATCGTCGGTGGCGCTTCTGCAATGAGGAGCGAGTGCGTGCACATGGTTGCCAGATTGCTTAAAATAAGCAAAACACCGGGCAGAAAATGTATCAATGTAACAGCGAAGCTCTGTTTCGGGGATTAGAACTCTTGATATCTGGCAACAATAATCTGGCACTCATGAGAGCTCGTGTAGTAGAGGCGTGTAGAGCAGTCCACAATACTATTTTGTCTCTTTTTTGACGAAAATAAAAAGAGGTTTTTGGTAAAGTTATCTTTTTTAATACATTTTAGTCTCGTCTTATTTCGTCAACGAAATTGCATGAAAATGGATCATTGTAACAGCGAAGCTCTGATTCGGGGATTAGAACTCTTAGGGGGATTAGGAGATATCTGGCAACCGCATTCATGAAAGCTCGCGTGGTAGAGGCATGTAGAGCAATCCACAATAACATTTTGCTTTCCTTTTTTGACGAAAATAAAAAGAGGTTTTTGGTTAAGTTTTTATTTTTTGATTACATTTTAGTCTCGTCTTATTTCTTCAACGAAATTGCATGTTGATATAGTCATAATTAGCATTTATTGACCTTATTGTCGTCTTGTCTTCGTCTCAACTTAGCCATGGGGAAAAAATCTCGTCAACGAACATTTTTCGTCATAGTTTTCGTTAACGAAATTAACACTAGTCGAAAGCACGGCAAAAGTCACGCATTCCAGCTTTTAAATGTTTTTTTTTTTTCATTCACGCACTGATGGTGTAATTTCCACACAAAGCAGAAACCACTCAATTGAATCTGGTAAGCCTTTGGGGACACATCAAGGGTGTGTGTGTGCACATTTTTGATCCACACGTGTGTTTTTCCCATAAAGTGTGGGGGTTTTTTTTAGTGTGTGTTTCTCACTGTTAAGCTAGAAAAAAGATGAAAGCCTTGTTGTCAGGGGAATCTTTTGAACCCCAGATGAAAGGCGACTGAGAATGGGATTCATTTGTTTCATGGCCAGAATGTCACACACATACACACTGACCAAACACAACAGCCACTCTGCTGTAGTGTGTGTTGTGCTGGATTATGTGACCATGTCTTGCAGGTGCTGCTGTGAGTCTGGAGGGAGAGTAGACTACAGTGCTGGATATAGTACATCTTTAGCACAATATGATAAACTCTCTCAACATGCTGTATATTTATGTGTGTTTGCTGAAAATAAAAATGAGATTGTCTTAAGAGTTAAAAGTCAAGATGAAATCAAAAGAGAGCATATTTACTGTCTTTTTCTGGTCGTATCATGAGCAATCTTCTAGAGGGAAAAAAAAATTCAAATTGTGATGACTGTCACTGAAGTGACTTTCCTTAATAGCTTACATTTATTTATTTACTGGTTGTTAGAAAATAGCTAAGTAGTTATGAAGCCAAGATGAAGTGTTAAAATTATTTACTATTTTAAATGAGTTCTGTTACTAATGTTCATGTTCACTTGTAACAAATAGTAAAAATGAACTGCTTCTGTTTCTTGGTTTTTCAGAAACTCTTTCAGGCAATTGGTCCTCCTCTCCGTGAAGGAAAGCCTCTCACAGGTAGAACAGAGAACCAGCAAATATAAAACAACACATGCAACATGCATCAGGATACTCAGCTAAACTAGAGGAGTTGGCAGAAACTATTCCAGAAAGTGTCTGTTTTTTATTGTGCATTATAAATTGTAAGGCGACATGTTTAATTGAAATAAAACATGAATTGCGATATGACTTTTTTCAAAAAATATGTTTATCAACAAAAAAGAAGCTTTAAGGGCTCCCTGCAGTTTTCTATCAAAATAAAAGTTCAGTGGTTTAACAGTTGAAAATTAAGAAATTTAGACATTATTAGTATTACAATTTTACAGTTGTAATGTAAAATTTAATTATTATTATTTTTCTTGAATACTCAAGCTTGTCTATTTTTTATAGTGAACTTTTAGTAATATTTCTTGTTTAGTATAGTTTGTATTTGTATTTAAAATAAATAAATAAATAGAAATCTATAGCAATATTGATATATAATCACAAGATTGTGACCAAATTGTTAAGCCCTACAATTACAACAAGCCTAGATTGTTTTAAAAATTACACAGTTTTTATTGCATTGCAAATCCTAAAAGATGCATATGCGTTCTGATTTTTATTTTTTTTTTGGATTTAACTCAAAATGGATAACTCAAACTTTCTTTTGCACATTGTCAGACTTAACATGTTTCACAAGAGATACTCTGCAAAGAATGAAAAGACAAAAAATGCCAGCCAACCCCAGCCCAACAATGTTATTAATATATAATGAATAGATAATAACAGTGTAAATGCCACTGATTTTTGAGTGCTGAAGTAGAATGGTTTTCATTCCTGAAATCTGGTCAGCTAATGCTAAACTAAAGTGCACATAATCACATTTTCCCATTTGTTTCCTTCCTCAGATGAGCATGTTGTGATGGGAAATAAACTGCTGGTGTACATCAGGTGAGGTGACTTTCTGCATAAGTACTGCACTCATACATAGTTGCGTGCCATTACACACCTGTTTCCTTCTCCTCTGCCAGCTGTTGTTTGGCAGGACGGGCCTATCCATTAGGTGACATTCCTGAAGATCTGGTCCCTCAGGTGAAAAACCAGGTAAGAAGTCTGATTAAATCCAGATTGCAGAGAATGTGTTTTGTTTGGTTAGCAGTCAAATTGTCATGTTCCATACAGCTCAACACCATAACACTCATGTCTGTTTTGTTTGTATGGGTCTGTATGAGTCACGCCACTCTTTCTCCCTCAGTTATATATAGCACAAGTGTGTGTTTAGTATTCTCTGCAGTTTGCTCTCAGCAGGGCTTTTAGAGGGATTTTCTCTTTGTTGCCCATTCAGAGTGCTCAAGTGATTCGTTCTGGGATGGACAACCTCCAGAGGAACTTAAATACGGACATGGATCACACACACACAACCTAAAGCTACTCTTACACACACACATTGAGTGCTGTCACACTCTATAGGTTTGAGTGAAAAGCATGACAGACAGGGTTGTTTACTCCAATGATGTGTAGAGATGATCTGTACTGAAACAAGACGGAATGTTCTTGGCTAAATCAAGGAGAGTGTGGAAGAATCCAGGTTTAGGTTTTAAGATGGGCTGCAGAATACCCACTGAAAGAAATAAATACATAAAAAAACGGGAAATCTGCTGGTGGTTTTCTGCCAGGACATTATCTATTGAGTCTACGGTCATTTACCCTGAAGCAGAGTTTGACTGACAGGCAGTCTGACCAATTATAACGCAGAATCTGCCATTTTGTCCGACAAACAAACCAGACCGGAGAGTAGATTAACGTTGGTGGACTTGAACTTGAAAAGTGGTGTGTATTGACGTCTTTCCATGGTTGAAACAGAATACTTTCTGATGTACACTCATGTTTATCTTGTGCCATAATACAAGTCCCTCAGTTGTCCTCAGTATGAAAAGATGGAACTCAAAATCATACAGTCATTGTTGGAAAGGGTTAAAATACACAAAAATGCTGGAAAACCAAAGAATTTGTGGGACCTGAAGGGTTTTTCTGAAGAACAGCAGGCAGTTTAACTGTTCAGGACAAACAAGGGACTCATGAAAAACAATCACTAAACAAAAAAACACAGCTGTGAATCATTCAGGTAACAACACAGTATTAAGAATCAAGGGGATGTAAACTTTTGAACGGGGTCTTTTTTATAAATTCAATTATTATTTTCTCTTGTGGACTATATGCAAACATCTTTTATGTGAAATATCTTATTCAGGTCAGTACTAAATAAACAATAACATGCATTTTGTATGATCCCTCTTATTTTAGTAAAATAATTAACATTTTGCAGATTCTGAAATGGGTATGTAAACTTTTGACCTCAACTGTACATTAAAATATTTGACATTAAAAAAAACTGAACAAAAAAGCAGTACTGAAAAAATAGGCATAGGCCTTTTTCAAAGTATGACAACACGGGTAACATAGTGACTCAGTGACCAATAAAATGTTTGTAGCCTACACATGCACACACATATATATATATATATATATATATATATATATGCTTGTGTATGTATTTATATGCGTTTATACATATATGCATTTTTAACAGTGTGTAATGTATGTTTTACAGCAGGGAGTAAATTGTATCAAGTGGTGTATCATCTTTTGGGCCCTAAGGTGTCATGTTCAAAGGGACACATGTGCACAGAGAGTTCCTCTTTGATCCTTCATTGCAATGACACACATCCACACATTCCCATGCAGTCACACACACACACACACACACATGGTGTCACATCTGCAGGTCCAAATCCTTCCTGAAATAAAACCAGGAAACCTCCCTGCTGTAAAACACAACATTGGCGTCGCAAGGATGAGCACCTCCAAATGATGCCCAGTTACCTCCCTTTATGTGTGTGTGAATGGGAGATAATGGCTAATCTTTTGGTCTGTGCTGCTCTCACACACACACACACACACACTAGCAGGAAAGTGTACCACCTGGTCACCATGGCAACTAGTCAGCCCTGTACTGTACTCCGATGATAATGGGTTGAATTTTGATTTAGTTATTGTGTAGAGGGATTGGTCCACGAGCATATACCTGCAGAATATATGAGATAGATTCAGATTTTACTATGGCTTTTTTACTTGAATGCTATATATAAAAGTTAATTATTAGTTATTAGTGTTATTATTAGTGTTTTAAAAGAATAACATTAAGTAAGTGTTCGATCACAGCAAAGGTAATCTTAAAAAAGAAAAAATAATTGAAAAGCAATGCTGTGCAGTTTATATTGTATCTCTGAATGCGTTCCAGGTGTTTGAGTTTCTCATTCGTCTGCACTCGGTGGAGGCTGCACAGGAAGAGGAAGTGTATCCATACATTCGAACTCTTTTGCACTTCGACACTCGAGAGTTCCTCAACGTCCTGGCGCTGGTGTGCATCAGCTAATCCATAAATCAATATGTATTACTAAAATCATCAGTGCTCTACTAATGTGTTATACATGTAGAGTGTAGTTCGTCTGCCCTTTAACCAGATCTGAATATTAATATCTCCTTGCCTCACAGACATTTGAGGACTTCAAGAATGACAAACAGGCTCTGGAGTATCAGCAAAGGATTGTGGACATTTTACTGAAGGTGACAGAAACATATTTCTTACTGTCTTTTGCCTACAAATCTCATACACACACGCACACACTTACATACGAATGCTCACCCAGCTTTCCCTCCATCTGTGTAAAAAGCATTTGGCTCTGAAATGATTCTTCACTCTGTCACTGGAATGTAAATCATGCGAATGGGATCATTTTATCTGCTGGAGAACCGGCTCAGTCCTGCAGTCTTCCTCCCCCTCCTCATCACAGCTCATTCAAGAGCCTTCAGCAGCTCAAATCAACATCTGCACACTCTCCCTTTCTCTCCATCTGTAATCATTTGTTAGTTCATAAAAAACAGAGAGCACTACCTTGGCCCCCTTGGCATCCCACATAACTCCACCGAATATCCAGCAGAAATAAAATGCTTATCATTCAGAAAATTAAACACGTTTTACCATATTTTAATCCATTTCACAGAATTCAACAATCACAAATGTAGAAAATGCAAAAAAGCCCCGGCTTAGATTAATTTTCCATAAAGTTCCAAAATCCCTTGATCTCAGAAAGCCTGGTTCAATGTTTGTGAGGCAAGATAATGTCACAAACAAGAGTCTTAACTACTATAAAAAAAAGGGGTAGGATTTACTTGATAAAAGCTAGGAAAAGCATGTTTTCAAGTAAAGGAATACACTAAATTCTTAAGTTTACTTTTTGTTTGTAAAATTTTCTTAAGTAACGCTAAAAATACTAGAATTTTAATGCTAATGCTTATCTTTTTTTATTTTTTAAATGTAAGTATTATTGTTCATGAGTAATGCTTACTTTTAAGTATTTTTAAGTATATGTAAGTAGTAGTTATAAGTATCGAGTGTGCACAATGAACATTATCAATAAGTCAATAATTAGAACCTGCACCACAACTTTAGAAACTCAAATATTCACTACAGATGTTACTGAATCGCCTTATAATTGAATATTGCACCACTATTGAGAATCTCAATCCTTAAGTAAAATGTCCTAAATCACAGAAGAATTACTTTCGTTGGACATTTTTCACTCTGTATATTTACAGACACTAACAAATTCCCTGTGTGTGCGCACTTTTCAGGTTATGGTGGACAATTCTGACTTCACCCCGTCTCAGGTCGGCTGTCTTTTCACCTTCCTGGCACGACAACTTGCCAAACCTGATAATACCCTCTTTGTTAACCGGAAGCTGTTTGACCAGGTGATGTGACTGTCTGCTTCTTTCACAGTCCATTTGTCAGTCTCACCTCACCTTTTCCATTTGCACTATGCTGTCATTTTTTTAATCCGAGCTATAATGGTTAAAGCAAGAGAATATTTCTAAGAAGGTGTTAGTGCTGGTAAAGACAATTAGCAGGTTCTGTAAAAATAGCTCTCCCGCATTAGAAGCGCTATGCTTGTTTTTCTGCATGTTAAAGAGTTCAGGATTTTGCACCCTGCGTTGGGGCCTGTTCTTAATTAGATTGCATCAATTTAAAACCAGTCTGGAAGCTTTTCAGCTACCGACAGGGAAGCTGACAGTTGTGATTTTAGAATTATTCTACCTTTCCTATATGAAAAGATGTTTTGTTGAAGTGTCTTTTATCTGTTGCTCATTCTTTTGCAGGTTCTAGAGTTTCTATGTAGTCCAGATGATGACTCTAGACATACAGAAAGACAGCAGGTAGGAACACAAAAACCAGCTTGAAACCATCTTTAATTTGTGAAAACATTGATTGATTGAACATATGATCTTCACATGTGTCAGGTTCTGCTGGAGCTGCTGCAGGTTGGTGGCGTGGTCCAGTTTGATGAAGGGCGTCTCCTTGACCTTGCAGAGAAGACGGAATTGTAAGATATCTTCCAATCAGAACGCAGAACAGATTTGCTTCATCCACCAAACAAATATACAGCTGAAGTCCTTGAACTTCATAGTCAAAACAAGATTTATTTGTGGAACGATAAGATCATCCATCTTCTACAGTACAACATGAACCATTCATAGATCATAGCAAATCATAATTTATAACGGTCCGGCATATTATTTGAGGAGACATATATTTAATTATTCTCTGGAAATGTTGTTGATAAATTAGATTTACCTTGTAGAGTCAACTCACTAATATGCACCTTAATTAGGTTACTGTTATAGAACATTTCTGTTACAGAATTGTAAAATGTTAACATAAATATCTAACTAATAATACAACATAATTTCTAACTAACATAAATGTTAGTTAGATATTTTCTTGTAAAAATGGCATAAGAAAAAGTTTGCATAGATGAGCATCATGAAACCTGTCAAAACCACGCCCAGATCATATTTCACCCTGGAATCAAAAGAAAGAAATATGAAATCATATTTTACTTAAATAAAATTCTGCATAAATAATAAAGACTATGTAATATGCACTGTTACAAACAGTCAAATAAATGCTGATCTTTTTGATCATTCTTTTTTGATCATCACAGAATCCTAAAAAACAGTTTCCACAAAAATATGAAGCAGTACAACTGTTTTCAACATTGATGATAATAAGAAATGTTTCTTGAGCAGCAAGTCACCATATTAGAATGACTTCTGAAGGATCATGTGACACTGAAGACTGGAGTAATGGCTGCTGAAAATTCAGCTTTGTGTCACAGGTATTAATTACATTTGAACATATACAGTGGTGTGAAAAAGTGCGATTTCTTATTTTTTTGCATGTTTGTCACACTTTAATGTTTCAGATCATCAAACAAATTTAAATATTAGTAAAAGATAACACAAGTGAACACAACATGCAGTTTTTAAATGAAGGTCAAAGAAAACAGTTATTTCAAATTGTAATATTTCTTAATATTTATGTATTTACTGTATTTTTTTTATTTTTATCAAATATTGTAAATGCAGCCTTGGTGAGCAGAAGAGACTTGCAAAGTTTCAAAAACATGAAAAATCTTACCAATCCCAACTTTTGAATGGTAGTGTATATGGTTGTATTTGTTGCACTGCCTTTCATTTTTGCTGATTTAAAATAAACTAACTTTGTTTTGTAGTATTTCTTCCCTTGTATTACAGTAAAACATTATATTAAAGTGTTGAGAATTACCTTTAACGATAAAGGGGTGAAAATGTGGTTAACTGTGCTGAAATGTAGAAAAAAAATGTAATGGTTAAAAAAATAGTTGCATGGTAAGTACCAAGGAAACACAGTGATCCACTCTAAGCAAGCCTTCAAAAGCTAGAAGGTTAAATCAATGATAAATCTAACAACTTCTGTTGAACGCATTATATTGATTTCCTCAAGGAGAGGAAGACATTGAAAATCTACTGAAGAGCTAACCTTTTTGTTGTTATTATTACTTATTAGTCAATGTTGTCGTTTTGTTTTCGTTCTTTCAGTTATCAGATCTGCGAGTTTATTTATGAAAAAAAGCACCTTTACGACAAAATTGTTGACTGCTACCTGAAAGACCCTTTGAGAAAGGTACTCGGCCTTAATCCCTCCATTTCACTCTTTTCTTTCCTGTCACTTCTGTTATTCCTGTACTAAATCTTTATCTCGAACTCCAGGAGGAGCTCTTCAACTACATTCATAACATCCTGTCCATGCCAGGCTACAGCTCAGAGGAGAAACAGTTGGTGTGGGTCAAAGCCCTTCAACACATCAAGGTGAGTCAAGCAAGGCTTCAAATGCTTTGTCCCCTAGAGCACACTCCAGGTAGAGAGAAAGCTCATTTCAGACCCTAATCTCATCAGACCCTTCTCTCTCTCTCATCTTGTTCAGTCAATGATCTTTGTCCAAATGACTTACTCTGATTGTTAAAATAGAGAGCTCTAAAAATCAGTCAATGCCACTGCATTATTTGTGACTGACTTTCAGTTGAGTCTGGGTTTAAAAACGTACGTTTTTTTATATAACCCTAACATTTTCCACCTTCAGGTTGTGGTTCAAGTGTCTTTTTGCTTTGAAATCTTTACTGATTTTTATAAAGTAAATGTAAGAATAATATTCTTAATAATATTTCAAGATGAACACTTACTGGGCTGAAGCAACTTAGGTTTACTTGATTATCATACATGATTTTTTAGGGGGAAAAAAATTAAATGTTCAAATGTGAGTATCAAGAATGGCTTTTGAGGAATGTTTATTTGTTCATCTCTCAGTCTCAGTCATCACTGTATCGCATTGCAATGCATTATATGTTTTGAAACTACAGAGCTTTGATTATAAAAGTAAGCATTAAAATATTATCTTACTAAGACATATTATTGGGAGATCTGATATTTATACCATTTTATGCAAGTAGTCTTTACTGATATAAAGCTCTCATTGGTTTACAATCTGCAGAATTTAATCTTAATTTTTGGTCATATAAATGTCAGCATCTGTACAAAATTGCATATTTTTCGTAATAAATATCAGCATCTGCACCATTTTTCTCAGTTTGAGCTTATGAATAAAATTGAACTGTTTTTTCCCTCCATAATCTTACTATATCAAGCTATATGAGCCGCAAGACTGATGTATAAAATTTGGTGCTCAACCAATAACACATACACTACCAGTCAAAGGTTTTTGAACAGTAAGATATTTAATGTTTTTAAAGAAGTCTCTTCTGCTCACCTAGCCTGCATTTATTTGATCCAAAGTACAGCAAAAACAGTATACATTTTTATAAAATATTTTTAACACTATTTGAATATATTTTAAAATGTAATTTATTTCTGTGATTTGAAAGCTGAATTTTTTGCATCATTACTCCAGTCTTCAGTGTCACATGATCCTACAGAAATCATTCTAATATGCTGATTTGCTGCTCAAAAATAATTTATTATTGTTATTATTATGTTGAAAACAGCAGAGTAGATTTTTTTTCAGGTTTCTTTGATGAATGGAAAGTTCAGAAGAACAGCATTTATCTGAAATATAAATCTTTTGTAACATTAATTTTGATTAGGTAACAATTGATCCACTCAGACATCCTCTCTTTTGGTCATGTCCGAATCGAAATGAAATTTAAATGAGTTGTAACACGAAATTACCTGTGAACGAGCCAGTTGTAACCGAATAAATCAAGGCTGCACCTTCCACCTTTAATACACACCTGCGGTGCTGTTTTACAGAGGATTTGGTGTCTAATGATGCGAATAAGTAGTGACTAATAATAATAATAATAATAATAATAATAATAATAATAAATGTTTCCTGAACAGCAAATCAACATATTAGAATGATTTCTGTAGGATCATGTGACACTGAAGACTGGAGTAATGATGCTGAAAATTCAGCTTTGAAATCACAGGAAAAAATTACATTTTAAAATATATTTAAATAGAAAACTGTTATTTTAAATGGTAAAAACCTTTCCAAATTGTACTTTTTAAAAAAAAAAAATTTTTTTTTTTGCTGTACTTTGGATCAAATAAATACAGGCTCGGTGAGCAGAAGAGACTTCTTTAAAAAACATTAAAAATCTTACTGTTCAAAAACTTTTGACTGGTAGTGTATATATAAAGAAACTGTTTTTGTTAGACTGTTACTTCATATGTCAGGCTTTACAGGGTTGTAAAAAGTATACCGAAATTCTGAAATTCACATTATATTTATTTTGATGAAGCGTTTCATTCAAATTGTTATGCCAACAATATTATTTGTAATAAAGAAGAATGGAAAAATGTTTTTACTAGTAGACCTTAGGACCCAACTAATACTAAGAAAATACTCCTGTGGTGGATTGGCTGATGTTATGAATGATCATTGGTATGTCATTGTTTCTCTGTTGCAGGATCTGGTCAGCATTAACTCAGCTAAGACAGCAGAGCTAGTTGCAGTGCACTTTGCAGACAAGGTGCAGCCTATCATCACATCTCTGCAGGTATGCCGCATTGCCGTATGTCAGCACTCTCTCTCTGTTGACTTGATGTTGGCTTGACACACATAGTCTATCTTCCAAAAGGCTGGACTGTTAAGAAAAGCGTTTCTAAAGGACGCTGTCAGTGTTTGATTCTCCGTTTTTGTGTGTGTAAATATATGTGTTGCATTGTCTGGGCTCCTATTCACTCATCTTAAGATAGTGTCAGTGAATGTGTGTGAGAAGGAAGAGGCCCCCCTGAGGCGCGTGTGTGTGTGTGTGTGTGTGTGTGTGTGTGTGTGTGTGTGTGTGTGCGCAAACCTATAAAAAGGCAGGTCAACTGTAAATGCTGGCCATAAAAATTATTTACTTAAACGACACTACCAAAATTTTTGAATAATTATTTGAAATATGATTTTTATGTATTTTTGAAATAAGTGTTTTCTGCATATCAAGGCTGCATTTATTTGATTACAGTAAAAAGTTTAAATATTTTTCTGTTGTAATAGATTTTAAAATAGAATTTATTCTTGTTGTGCAAAATTTAATTTTCAGCAGCAATTACTCCAGTCTTCAGTGTCACATGATCCTTAAGAAATCATTCTGATATGTTGCTCAAATATGATCAATTATTATTGGTTCTCCATAATGGTTCTTATTATTATCAATGTTTAAAAGAGTTTGTTGCTTAATATTTTTGTGGAAAAAATTATATATTTTTTAGGATTCTTTGATGAATAGAAAGAAAAAAAGGCATCTATTTGAACCTGTTGCCTAAAAGTATTAATATCTTTTTATTTATTTATTTTTTAATCTTACCCAACTGGATGGTTGTTGAAAATTCAACTTTGCATCACAGTAATACATTTAATTTGACAATATATTCAAACCGGAAACTGTCATATTAAAGTGTAATAATATTTCACAATATTGCTTTCTTTACTATATTTTTGTTCAAATAAATTCAGCCTTGGTAAGCAGAAGAGACTTCTTTCAAAAACATTAAAAAAAACAGATTTATTCCAAACTTTTGAATGGTATTGTATATATTTTTGTCCCTACATCTGTTAATGAGACACACATGAGAACTAGACTGTGAGGGATCTAGAAGTAGAGACCATTCAGTATATATTATTGTTGTGCATCTGGGTGTTATTGTTTCAGTCTGAATTATATCAAACTTTGCATATAAATGTTCTTATTGAAAATACCAGAGGACTAGGGCTGATATGCCTTGCGGTAAAGAGGCTGCATCTTATTTGTTTCAAAATATGTAATCTATACATTAGGGCTTGCATTGTAAATGTAGCTAAGCAGACCTGCACTGTCTATTTTGTCATTAATATTAATCAGACAACAATATTGCTAATGTAAAAGCATTTATTAGTGAGCAGGTGCAGTCCTCCGTCAAAATAACAGCGATCTCTGTCACCATCTATTTCTGTCTTAAGCGTTGTTCCTTCATCTCTTTTCTCATATGACCTCTCACACACATACATTTATCTAGACCTAGTATTTCATTCGCTTGTACACTGTATATTGTCCTGGAGTCCATTACGCCCAGTCCCCACATTTTAGTTTGTGTCTTTCTTCTGCTGCCCTTGGCAAACAGGACTCAAGGATTAAGATCAGTATCTGTAGTGAGTTTTGTACATGCTGCTGTTGACAGCCTGTAGTTATAAAACCGAGAGGAGGACAGTCTGTCAGTACAGTGGTCTTTACCCAGCTGAACTGAGGATAACAGAGAGATCAGACCTTCTTGCAATGTATGCATTTTACTGTGAGATTTTCTGATTGGATGACTGGTGGAGAAAAGCGATTAATTAGTTTTAATCTGAAGAAAACGTTTCTGGTGGACAATAACATCTGTAGAAAAATCCCATAACCTCTAAAGACCATGATGTTAGGAATGCATGATACGTTGCTAGCACATCATGACTCAGCCAATATCAGATTTTTTTTTACTTGTACATCATTTTCCATATTTTTACTTGTACACTGTAAAAATGTATTTGATTAATAAGCAAATCTCAAAAAAGGATTTTCCTTACTGTACATTAGTACATTAGTAACTCACAACATTAGTTCACATGTTGTGATGCTTAAATTCATTTGTAGGCTTCTAAAAAGTTTAATTTAGTTTTCACTGTTTTTTTTTTTAAATCACTTTTGATTTAAATACAATATCATTTTAATATAGGTTTTTTTTTTGGGAAACAGTTTAGGGTAACACTGTAGTTTAGGGACCAATTCTCAGTATTAACTAGTTGCTTATTAGCATGCCTATTAATAACATATTGGCTGTTTATTAGTAATATTATAAATCACATATTCTACATGACCATATTCTACATCCCTAATCCCACCCAATACCTAAACTTAACAACTACCTTACTAACTATTAATAAGCAGTAAATTAGGAGTTTATTGAGGCAAAAGCCGTACCTAATTATTTGTTAATAGCGAGAATTGAACCTTTAATGTGACCCAGTTTAGATTAGGGAACACTATTCAGTATTAACTAGTTGCTTATTAACATGCATAATACTAGCATGTTGGCTGTATATTAGTACTTGTAAAAGCACATATTAATGCTTTATTTCGCATGACCATATTCTAGGTCTCTTAACCTAAACAAAACTACTATAACAACTGCCTTTCTATCAAAAATAAGCAAATTGGGAGTTTATTGAGGTAAAACTGTAAATTTTAGTAAAAAAAAAAAAAATCTCTGCTTGACTTCTGAAATCATTTAGTCCACATAAACCCCTTTCTTAAATCAATTGAAAGCTAGCGTTTATGTCTGCCTCCCTTTCTGAGTGCAATGCCTGCATATCAACCGATGGGGAAAAAAAAGTTTCCACCCTACTTTTTGATTTCGTTGTACTTTGTGTTTCACAAAATAGAAGAAAAGATGTGTCATTCATTCTGTTTCACTGCAACTTTAACTTAAGCCAGTAAGAAGCTTGCTAAAACCCATCCAGAACACCTTTGCAAGTGCGTAGCAACACCTTCTGTGTTTCTTACATTATTACTGAAAATGTTTAAAAAAATCTATATTGGGATAGTTACACATTCACCTCGGCCCAGATTCACAGTTGTTTTAGTTTCAGACACAGTCACACATCAGCGCTTGCTCATTTCCGCGCCATGGCAGACCCTCAGAGCTACAACGCTGCTTTTGCTGTAGCTGACCTGTGGTGCCCTTTATGGGACACATGGCACCTCAGGGCCAAAACTCATCTATGGAAGAACATCTGAATTTACTCTGTCCTTCCCGTGTGACCGCTGTCTCCTCTCAGGCCAAGCCTCAAAGCGCGTTTCACCTCACGATCTTCCTGTCCTTAGCAACCTCCCATCTCAATTTGTCACAGAGCCTCATCTTGGACTACATAGTTGAGTTCATTTAGGGTAGTTTGTATAAATAAAAACCTCCTTGTAGTGATGAAGTCAGACACAGCAGTCAGACTTCACTGTAAAAATAACTAATCTGTGACTATACCTTCTGGCAGAAAGAGCGGCAGAAGCTGTGCCACTGTTTACTTAAGATTTACTTCCTCTTGGCAAGACGAAATTAGAACATGATAAAACTAATTCTCTGTAAAGTGTAATTGGAAAGTGTTTAACACAGCCTTAGAAATATGACTTCTGAAAAATGGTTTGGTTGAATCATTGATTTAGGACAATATGTGAACGATTTACATTTCAAATAAAAATTTGATCATAAATGAGGAAAAAACTACTCCAAAGCCAGCATGTGGGGTAAAAAAAAAGATTAAATAATTAATGGCCATTCTTTATCCAGACTTTGACGTGTTTTTCTTTTTTTTCCCTTTGGCAATTCACCAACATGTATGATATTCTGTATATTAGTATACATGGATAAGTTTGCTATGACACAAAAATGTACTTTACCAGCCATGAGAGATTTGGTTCTGTGACAGAAATATGCAAAGTTGCTACATTACATGGTGGCGCCCATTGACACATCTTCTATTCTCTCTTAAAGAGATAGTTGCCGATAAAACGAAAAGTCTATTATTGTTTACCCATCCTCATATAATTCCAAAAAGTATTGATTTTTGGTTCTATGGAATAAAAATATATATGTCTCAATATCTTTGATACTCAATTAGCTTTACAATAAAAGTCAAAAAAGATGTTTTGGACCCCATTAACTTGCATGGTAAGGGCACAAACTTTCTTGAAAATATTTTGTGTCTCATAGAAAGAAGGTCATGCAGATTTGGAACAACATGAGGGTGATTAAACGAAGACAGAATTTTTTTGGCAAACTATTTTTTTAATCTATACTACTGATCTATTCTCCAGTATTTAAAAAACAAACCGCATTCGCTGTCACTTGGATAGGAAAACACCTAGCAGTATTCTGCATTATTTTGTTGTAGTTCAACTGTGTACTTTCAGAATCCGCCATTTTTATGTTCTTTATGATTTTGACCACTTCATATCATCATTATTCTCATATGCCTCAGTTTTATGACAGAGTTTTACCAGAGTAGAAGAGTACGTCTCACATGAGGATGTACTCTCTCACACATGCCTCATGCAGCCCTGATTGGGCTTTGATTTGAGAGCTTGGCTATGATTGAGGTCTGAGAAAACTACTCTACATGATAACTTGATTGAGAGAGAAAGAGAGCAAGAGGGGGATGCACAAATGACGCATGGCTTCCGTTTGGAGCTCTGTGAAAAGGGACTTCTTTTCCTCAGGAGAGACAGACAGTCTTAGGAGTGGATGGCTTGGTCTAAAACACCTATATATTTGACAGTATGTATATAGGATATTTATATATAGTTTTGGATCAGATTTGTAATGTTTTTAAAGAAGTTTCTTATGCTAATCAAGGCTGCATTTATTTAATCAGTAATACAGAAAAAAAACAGTAATATTGTGAAATATTATTGCAATTTAAAATGAGAGTTTTCTATTTTAATATACTTTAAAATATAATTTATTCCTGTGATGCAAATCTGAAATTTCATTAGCTGTTAAGG